CTGGGTGCTGTTCCCATCGTCAGACAATGGCTACACTGGGTGCTGTTCCCGTCGTCAGACACTGGCTACACTGGGTGCTGTTCCCATCGTCAGATGCTGGCTACAGTGGGGAACTGAAGGAGGCATTTGCTTTGGGTTTGAAGTTGGGGTGAGTTTACTGTTTTTGTTAGGATTTGACAGTTCACTGCCAGATACTGTCTGAATCTTTGTGACTCTGACAGGCGCCTTTCTTATGCTATTCTTTGATTAATATGCTTAAAAAAGCATGGGATAAATCCGGACTAGCTGAACATAGCGGACAATGAGGAATACTGAGAATTCAAGAACAATTGCAGTGGGTTTTTGATCCTACTGCACGTACTGGCTTTGTGGGAGCCTAGGCAGTTTGAATGCTCACCTTACGAGACCTGGATAGAGGTGGGCAGTCCTTGGGCTTCCCACAGGTCAGGGAACCCTGATTGCTCTTCGAGCAGATGAGGGGGGGGGGACTTGATCGGGGGAGGGGGAGGGAAATGGGAAGCGGTTGTGGGGACGAGGCAGAAATCCTTAATAAATAAATAAATTTAAAAAATAAATAAAAAAAAAGAGTTTAGCTCTCTGCCTGTGTTTGCGAAGCAGAGGATGTGACTTTTCCAAATTGTTTTCGATGTAGAAGTAAGTTAGTTTTCTTCCTAGTTTACTGCAGTGCAAATCCTGGAATGACCCTTCCCCAAAGCACTAAATTAGTACAGGATGGCTGTCAGGTAGCCATCGGAGGCTACCAATAGAACAAGTGTGAAAGTCCTCGGGTCAATTAGATAAAGAATACTTTCCATGTTCTGGCATTCCGTTCCTCTACATTCTTTTAACTGTGTCAAATTGGCTGGGGATGTGGCTCAATCATAGGACACAGGCCTGGCATGGGTGAAGCCCCAGGTTTGATCCCAAGAAACACACACATTCACAAACACACACACATGCACACATATTCACACACACACATTCACATACACACACATGCAGGCACATACACATGCACACATATTCACACATACACATTCACACACACATATTCACACAAACATTCACACACACATGCACACATATTCACACATACACATTTACACACACGCACACATTCATGCACACACACATTCGTGTGCACACACATGCACACATATTCACACATACACATTCACACACACGCACACATTCATGCACACACACATTCACATACACGCACATGCAGGCACATACACATGCACACATATTCACACATTCACACACACATATTCACACACACACATTCATGCACACACACATTCACACACACACATGCACACATATTCACACATACACTTTCACACACACGCACACATTCATGCACACACACATTCGTGTGCAGACACATGCACACATATTCACACATACACTTTCACACACACGCACACATTCATGCACACACACCTTCACGCACACACATGCACACATATTCACACATTCATGCACATGCATGCAGACTCTATATATAGTCAGTGCAGAGCCTCAAGAAGTACTAAACAAATCAGAGCACAGGGTTAGGGATATAGCTTGATGCTTGTCTCTTCTTGCATGTGTACCACACTGGGTTTTGTCTCTGTGCTGCAAAAATAAATAAATAGGTAGGATACATAGATAGATAGATAGATAGATAGATAGATAGATAGATAGATGGGTAGATGACAGGTTACTTATACTATTCTATTATTAAATAAAACTCAGGAGTCAGATATTGAGGTAAAAACCTGATAGATCCTAGGGCAATAGAGAAATGATCATCTGACCCTGCCTCTCAACCTTTCCAGATCCAAAAAGAAAAGTGAATCTTTTTTAGCCTCTCCCTTTTCCTTCCTGTGTCTCTCTATCCTGATCTGGCTCTGCCAAAAAATATGGTTAATTCTGGCCAGCTGAAGGTTGACTCCGCCCTCTGATTCAAGATTTAATTTTATTGAAAGTCTTGGGAGTGTCAGAGTGTGATCAAAATATCCCACAACAACAGATAGATAATCGGTAGATGATGTATAGATGTTAGGTAGATACATGATATAGATGATAAACAATATATATATATATATATAGAGAGAGAGAGAGAGAGAGAGAGAAAGAAAGAGAGAGAGAGAGAGAGAGAGAGAGAGAGAGAGAACCAGAGCCATCTGAACATAGGTGACTAACACAGAGACATGCCTCCTACTATGGACATTGTCTAGCTACAAATAAAGTCAAAGGAAACCATGCATCTATGACGCCACCTCACACACAGGCGCTATTGTGGTTGTATTACATCTGCATGTTTATTCAATCCCATTATCACCCCATGTAACAGTCATGACATTGGAAGTGGCATCTTCTGAGAGTTGGGAAGACAGCGTTCTGTGGCCTAATCACTGCCTGAACTCAGGGAAAGCAGAACTGCCTCAGGTTGAAGGAACAGAGCTGATTAGTGCTGATGCAGCAAAATGTCTCCACCTTTGCTGCGTGAGCCACAGAAGTTTATGTCTTAGAGCTGTGAGGGTGGGAAATCCAACGCCAATGCTGGCCCAGTCTCTGACGAGGGCCCACACACTCCAAGATGGCCCCTTCTCGGTTGTTTTGCTTGTATTGGGAAAGAGGTAAACTGCTCCTGGTGCTTCTTTCACGAGAGTGCTAATCCCACTCATGGGAGCTCCACCCCCACGACCGGATCAGCTCTCAGAGCCCCTCATCTAGCCAAGTCAGCTGGGGAGTTTCCACATATGGATATGAGTCAGTCCCAGACACTCCGACCACGCAGGGGCCGCTGCTCTTCACAGTCAGATCTTTCGGTGGACGTTCTTCAGAGACTTGTTAGTCAACAACCGCTGATAGCTCTCCCATGAGCTTGTTCATGCTAAATAGCAGCTGGACCATGGAGCTAGTTCTCCAGGTGTCTCCAGGTAACCATCAGGTCAACAGAGTTCCTTCCAGCACTATGAATAGCATGCCATTGCTTAGCAAAGGCCTTTTGATTGACCTGAGGTTCACCAGGAGCCCACAGTAAACTACCTTAGTCTAAATCAGTGGCTCTCAACCTTCCTAATCCTGTGACCCTTTAATACAGTTCTCCATGTTGTGGTGACCGCTCCTGGTTTGGCTTTCGACTGCTGTGGTGAACACTGACCAAAACCAACTTGGCGAGGAATAAGTTTAATTTGACTGGCATGTCATCATCATGGCCCATCATTGAGCACGAAGATGAGTAGATCTTTGGGGGCCCATGGACTGAGATTGCTCATAAGCCCTTCTTCATTTGAAGAATGAGCCACCGTGACCTGTGTGCATTGTTATCCCTCATGGGCTGATTTCTCTTTCCATTCTACCAGCGTTTCAAGTAGCCGCTCTCCTAGTTGGCTTTCTGCTGTTGTGAGAAAAACCATGACCGAAAGCAGCTTGGGGAGGAGAGGGTTTAATTGACTTACATATCCCAATTACAGTTCATCCTCGAGCAAAGTTAAGGCAGGAACTATGCAGGAACACGACTCTACAGCGGGGCTCCCCATGGCTTGCTCAGTGTGCTTTGCAGACAATGCAGTACCATGTGCACAGGGTGGCACCTCTCATCTTGGGCTGGGCCCTTCCGCATCATCATTAATCAAGAAAATGCCCTGTAGACATGCCCACAAACCAATCTGATGGAGGTAATTCCTCTGTTGCGGGTCCCCTTCCTGGGCGACTCTGTGTCAAGTTGACAGAAAACTGACAAGCACGGTCACGAAAGGCAAGGGTGGCCAGTCATTAAGGAGCATTGGGCTAATTAGCCTTCCAACGCTATAATAAGATGCCTGGCATAATTATAAACAGAAAGGGGTAGTTAGTGCGCAGTTTCAGATGTCCTAACCTTTGATCAGATGAACCATTGCTTTGGGCCTCTGGAGGGCATAGAACCTCCGGGTGGAACCAGTTGGGAGCCTGGGGCAGAAGAAGCTGATACGTCGTGGCTAGGAAGAGAAAGAGGGCAGTGTCCTGCAATCTTCCTAAAGGGTAAAGTCCCAGTGACTTAACTCCCGTTAGACCCCACCCCTTAAAGATTCATAGCACCTCCTGGTCATACCCCTGGGGATGAAGCCTCTAACACAGACCTTTTGGGGAGACACTGAACATGCAGACTGTAAATAACAATCGCAAGGCCTTGAAGATACCCAAGTTATGTGTTTGGTCCACAGTTTAGCCAAAGGAAGTCCCTCTGGATGCCAGTTTTCATTAGGAGTACCTTCTGTTGACTGACAGGGACTTTCTCTGAATAGCTGGTGTCTCTGGCTTCTGAGAAGTATTTCCTTATCATTTGCAGTAAAATCTTAAGGACCCCTTTGCGGTGGCTCATAAACACAGACTAAATATGTAGTGTGTCTTCGGGTGCTTAAGTGTTTAATGTCACGGAATGTAACTGATGTGAAAACAAGTGACCAGTGAGTCACAAATGGCCTTTTTGCCCTGAATAATACTTCAGATGTGCAGTACCTCCTGTGCCTTAGAGTAATGTCCAGAGTGGATCAAAACTCATAGAAACCTTGCTGTCGTCAGGTCTTAGGAGCGAAACGTTGCATGTCAGGGCTGCTGCTCTGATTTTCATTATTCTTTAGACAGAAGAATAAAACTTAAGGGAATAATTTTTTTTAAAAAAAAAGTATGTGGGGGGGGCTTTTTCATGGTTAAGAATCAGCTACTATCATTAAGAACTTGAACAAGAATTTATAGAACACAGTAAAGATGCTAGTATATTACTGTGTGGATAAGAGATGTTCTTAGAACTATTCCAGGCCGATGGAACCATGTGACACAGAGAAAGGATGGCTGTGGGTGTTACTGTATATTAATACCGCGAGCGAGTGAGCCTGGCCTGGCTCTGTTGGGTTTGCGTAAGGAGGGCGTTTCTCAGCTTCAGGGCTAGCCCTGCTTGTTTACTATGCTTTATTTGTTAAACACGTGACTATACTTCTACCTCTCAGCATCCCTTTTGTTGTTTTCAGAGCGAAAGTGTGCTTGCGAAGGAAAAGGAGCTGACAGTTGAGCTTGCGAGCATCAGGGATGAAGTCGGTAAGTCAGGCATCTAATGTGAAGACTGTTTACCACTCTAGAGGCGGTGGGACCCGGGAGAAGGGAGCCCAAATTTGGGGTGGCCTCATGCGATAGCCGGCATTACTCAGACCATTAGACAGTTTATACCCCGAGGGTTAAGAAGGGTCACCTGAGTGGAGTTCAAGCTGTGTTCAGTCACAAAGACAAGCTACCTGTGGCCAAAAAAACACAAAAACAAACAAAAACAAGCCACACTTTTCCATAGAGACATATAAACAAGTAACTAACTATGGCCCCTTGTAATCAGTTATCCAAAGTGACCACACTTCTACCCCCTACACCTGGGAGGAGCACAAAGCACACACCTAGTGCAATTCGTGTCTGGGTGTCTCCTGTAATAAGCCAAATCAGACCTGTCTAGACCAGTGAGGCATCTGCTAGAGCCTCACAGAGAGCCGTAATTCTTACAGGTCTAGCACGAGAGAGACAGTCTCTCACACCTGGCCGTGGGGCTAAGCAGGCCTTGGCTGTTCTTCACAGATCCCAGCACGCCCATCAGTCTCTATCACGGGTTGTGACAAGCGTTCCTCCCTCTAGGCACCTCCGAAGCCATCCTGGGTTGTGTGAAATGTGTGTTGTGTGGCTTCCGGCATCTGTGTGCACCTTGCCTTGCCATGAAAGCTCTGTTGTCTCAAAAAGGGTTAAAAAACACCTTTCTGGCTGAAACCGAATTCTGAGGGGTCATCTCGAAATGTGTAATCTTAAGAGATGGTCTGGTATATTCAGAGACTTTGTCAAAATAAGGATAATCTCCAGACCCCCTAGAAGCCTGACAGGAGACAGGCTTCCTCTCTCCAGATGAGAGGCTGGCAAAGGTGTTTGCTATGCCCCAACCCCCCACCCCACCCCACCCCACCCCACTTCGTTCCTCTTTCTGCCTTTCCCCCCAGGACTGGGGATTAAACCCAGGGCTTTGTTTATGCTAAGCATTCACTAGACCACTGAGCTGCAGACATTGTAAAAATATTTTACTTGAAACAGAATCTCATTAAGTTACCCAGGATGACCTTGAACTCACTCTGCAGCCTAGTCTGGCCTAAAATGTGTGATTCTTTAACCTTAGACTTTTGAACAGCTGGTTTTATAGGCCTATGTCCCGAGGCCCTGCCTTCTTCATGCCATTTTCTCTCTTGTCTACCCACTGCTCTGTGTCCCCAGGAATCAATTCGCAAACCATAGCGTTTTCCATTGGCCCGCTGTTCTAGTCACTAGTATGCCTTTACCCTCTACCTATTGTGACTTCAGGAGCAGCCTACCTATGCAGGTGTGAGCTCTTTCATCAAGTAAAGGAGCTTGACCCATGCAGGCCACCCTTGGCAGGTTGTCAGCTGTCTGGCTTTTTCTAGTGGCCACGGGTTCTCAGCTGAGCGGTGGGCCAACAAGATGGTAGCCTTCAACTGTAGCTTTCCCGATTCTCCTTTTTATTTTAGTGTTCCTCCTCTGTGAGCTTTGTGGCTTCCTTTCTCATGGAAATGGCTCAGAAGTGGTTGTTTCTCCTCCCCACAGATAGCCAGCCCTGTGAGAACACAACCAATAGCAGTATTGTGTGCCTGTCCTGCCTGCATGGGATCCACAGCAACAGGGTCCCCACCCCTGCCCCCTGCCCCAAAGAGTTGGAGGACTAACCCAGGTGTAGGTTTAGCTGAGAAAGGCCAGCTAGGCAAGCCATGGTGGAGCTTGGGAGGGACACTCTCAGGAACCCGAGGCTCACGAGATCAGTGCTGAAGCTGTTGCAGAAGCAACCACCGGAGAGGGAAAAGTGACAGCCTCCCTGCTGGAAAAGTGTCACCCTCTCATTTTGTTGTTGCCATTTCCATGGAGATTGAGTCTCTTGAAGTCACCATCTCTTCTAGTTTGCTACTATGGGGTCTTACCACAGAGACCATCCGCGGGTCCTGCATGAGCGGCTGAGGGCACCCTTGCTGGGGTCAAGTGTTGTTTTCGTACCCCTTTGGGGAGGTCTTGCCATCCATTCACTGGAGGAGCCCTGGGGTCCCCAGATGATGTGCTGTTACATGATATATCCGACAACCCCCCCACACACACACACACACAGGTGTCTCCTCATGGGAGTCACGAAAAGAAGGTTCTTCCACGGAGTCTGCCTTCTCAGCGAGACGTTTCTTCTTCTCCAACTCTAGCTGCAAAGATTCCCCCCCCCCCCCCCCCCCCCCCCCCCCCCCCCCCCCCGCCTCCAGCTCAGCCCCTGTGCCCCGAGGGATAGGACTGAGCCGGTCTCTTTCCAGATAAGGCTACAAAACAGTGAGTGTGACAGGCATTGTCCTGCAGGCAAGTTCCCAGGTGACGGCCACTGAGCATAGCTGTGAACCCTGGGTCTTGTCCCTGCTTCAGTTGCAACCCAGTCTCCCAAGAGGACCCCTGATAGGACTGTGGAGGCAACTCAGAGGCACAGGGGTAAAGAGAGATCCCCAAAAGTCCTGGTTCAGAGTGACAGCCACCGCATGGTCAAATAAATGCTTCACAGTGACACTTTGTATGCATATATGACATAAACTGTTTGTGTGTCCTAACAGCCCAGTGGCCACTAAAAAAATATAGCTGAAATTGGAGATGAAGCAGTGTTTTGTCCCTTTTAAGCAGCCATGGCTACTTGCTAGAGTGATGTTTGGGCTGTTGGCTGGCCCGGCTCTCAAGCCTTAGGATTAGGTTGGATAATGCCACCCTGAGGTCGTGTTTCACAGGGTGTGCCCCTCTGTGCTTTTTATCAGTGCAACAGCAGCAGCACAGCTTCCCAAGATTTGGTATCCTAAAAAGGAACGCAGTGTGACTGGTACGGGCCGAATGTCAAGGACCTCAGAGTCCCAGCAGAGCATTGACCTTGGGGGTGTTCAGATGTCCTGCAGGGCCGCGTGTGTTGGCTGCAGTAACACGCTGTTGGACTTAGTGACACTTCCCTTGCTGGCCAAGAGGTGGGAGTGTAAAGACAAGTGGGTGCTTGAGGGCCTAGGAAGTAAAGTTGCTCATAAGCCCTTCTTCATGCAGGGTGAACCTGACCAGTGTGCAGGTGCCTCAGAGTGTCCTTAGAGATGAAGGCAGAATGGTGCTTACTGCATCCGTCCAGGTCCATACTCAGTACCCTTCTTAATAGGCTTAGGCCCACCTGCCTAGGGGTGGTTCCACCCACAGTGGGCAGAGCCTTCCTACATCAATCGTCAATCAGGAAAATGTCCACAGGCCAGTCTGATGGAGGCATTTTCTCAGTCAAGGCTTCTTCTTCCCAGATGACGCCAGCTCATATCAAATTTATGAAAAAAAACCAGCCGGCCTAGTCGGCAAGCTGTTAGGACCCGAACACCTGTGTTATCTGTGATGGGTGTCAGGAAAACACTGAGGGACTTAGTCTCTGGAGTTTTCATGCGCAAGACAGCGAGCCAGTACCCTGAGATGCTGAAGTCGGCCTCTGAATGTGTTTCTCCTGAGTAGGAGTGTGTTTGCAGCTGACTCCAGGCTTGGGTGCTCCAAAGACCCTTAGGGTGAGTTGGCTTGACCTCTTAGACCCTCGGGTTCCTCTTCATACGATGAAAGCCAATTCCAGAAGAAGCTGCTGAGGAAGGACTTGGCCAAAGCACAGCGGCTAGCGTACAAAGGTAGAAAACAGAGTTCTCCTCTACAGGTTGAGTTTCTCCCTGGAGAGATGTCTGCCCCACCATGAGCAGGCTTTGGACAGAGGATGAGGGTCTGATGCACTTGGGTTGGACGTGCCAAGCCCAATGGCACAACCTTTAGCCATCTCCGGAAACTTCTAAGTGCAGCCGGATTTGTACTGGGTTTGAGTTTAAGTCATTTGATTTCTGCATTAGTGCTAAGAATAGAAGCAGAATTCATCTGCCCATTAGAAAAAAAAAAAAAAGAAACCCTAGTAGAGACAAAGTAGAAGTCCCTGGTGGCACTGTGGCTGGTCCATTCATCCCAGGGGACGCTCTGCTCTTGAACTAACTCTCACTCCACTGTGGAGACTGCATTTGTGACAGAACAGAGGCAGAAGGGCATGTGGGGATCCACTGTCGGCCCATTAACTGTAGAACTGTGGTCTGCTCCTGCTTCCCTTAAAGAAGAAAGCAAAGCCTTCAGCATTGACTTCTGACGGGTGCAGAGAGGAAGACCCCCCCCCCCCCCCACAGTACCAGTCCTTGACACTCTGAACAGTTGATTCTCACAGGAGTCACAGGAGGCAGGGACCCATAGCAAAGGAGAAGGCTGAAGAGACGGAATTTCCAGAAAGCTGTGAGTTCAGATAGGGCAGAAAAGAAGAAGTTGCCAAAAGTAGGAATAGCTCCAATGTTAATATGTTAGGGTAGAGTTGCCCATCTCCAGTCTAATGGTTGCTGCTTCCTAACTCATAAAACTACTGCCCCAAGTTCTACCAACAGCTGTTGATAAGCTTCCATCCATCCTCCCCACTTTGGGCTTGAATAAATGCAACCATGGTGCCTACGGTATAGTCAGAACCAGTGCTTATAGGTGGTTCTCTATTCTGGCTCCTGTCAGGATCATCTGGAGCAGCAGAAACAAGATACTAGACAGCAAGTCGTGGGTGGGTTTTATTATGTGATGTTTTACTCTTTTGACTTCTTAGTCTTTTGGGGGGGCACCACCCAGCTCACTCACAGGGTGCTTAACCACTCACAGGGGCTTATTCTTAATTATGAATGCCTGGCCTTAGCTTGACTTGTTTCTTGCCAGCTTTTCTTAAATTATTCCATCTATCTTTGACCTCGGGGCTTTTATCTTTCTCTATTTCTTTTTTCTTTCCTTCTTACTCTGTTTCTGGATGTGTGGTTGGGTGACTGGATGCTCACCCCTGAAGTCTTCCTCTTCTTGTTCTGTCCTTGCTCACCCCTCTTCCTCCTTCCTCCTCCTATTGATCCTCTCTGCCTGCCAGTCCCGCCTATCCTTGTCCCTCCCTTGCTATTGGCCAGTCATCTCTGTATTAGGAC